ATGGTATCTAAAAAATTATTTCAGTCTAAGCGACAGCTATCCTTTGTCTCCAATTGGGATAATGTTCATGGCTGTAGCTCATTCACAGCCTTAATGGGAAGGAGAAATATAAAGGTTTATAAATCCTGCTGGTCTCATTAAATAACATGGAGTTCCATGGTAGAGCAGAACTCTCAAAAGCAAAACTTCCCCTGCGAACAAACGAGCGGTGAGCCAAAACCATAAAAGGTATTCAAAAAATTCTTTCACCGTTGGCGTCAGCCATCCTTTGGCTTCGACTGTGCCAAGTGTCATGTTTCTACTTAAAACTATTTGGCCACGGTGACGATGTAAAAATGTGTTTTTTCTGAGTATGAGGATTTTTCTCAGAATCAACGTTTTGCTATGCCTGAACAAGTCAGCTAAACAGCTAAACCATAAATTATATTGAAAAAATTCCTTCAATGTGCATGCTAGAAGGGTCTGAAGATGTTCTATTCCAAGTTTCATGTTAGTACATCAAATGTTTAAGAAATGGGAGCGATACAAAAATATGTATCGTTTTGAATTTTGTCTGTGATTTTTGGAAAGTCTCTCATTGGATTTCTATTGGGGAAGTGTGGACTTCTTCGTGGTCTGGGCCAAACTGTCGGAAAACTGTAAATGCTACACAAATGAGGGTTACATTTCCTGAATTCTGACAAAAATCCCTACGTTTTGATGTAAAATTTATTTCAATTGAGTGAAAAATGAGGGAGTGAGAAGAATTTGTTCGGAAAAACCAGAAAGGCTCAAAAGCTAGAGCACGCAAGTTTTACATGCATTTCAATGGGGCCAAAAATCGCAGAAAAAGCTGAATATCGCGAAAACTACGAAGAATACCTTTACCAAAAGTCATAGTCTCCTGAACAAGCTGAACGTTTTAATACCAAATTTGTTTAAATCGACTGAAAACTGTTGAACTAGTTAAACGAAGAAAAACCTATGGAATGATAATAAATATAAACAGCAAAACAATAAGTGGGAATGCATAAGCATTCCCACTTGATTATCTTGTCATAAATATTAATTTATGGTTTTGCCCTGACAAAGAATATGATATCACGCCTTAATAAATCTTGTTTTCCTTTGGTAATTCAAAACTGTTCTTTGATTTTTAACTGTAGGGCCTACATATACATTTTGAAACAATACATATCCACCAGTGAAATTGAAAGTTCCAAATGGTGTTTAATGGTGTTGTGGTCATGTCAGCCCTCTTGTTTCTATGACGCTCGCTCCTCACACCAAGGTTCACGGAAAGGCATGTGGACTCTTTGGCTAATTTTAACCAGCATCTCATCAGGGCTGCAAAGACAAAACACAGATCAACCACCTCAACCTCTACAGCAGAAAGTGAAGCCAAATTTCCTCTGATCTCCAAACACCCCATTCAGGTTTGAAGCCATTGTGTCACAGATGCACATAACAGGCTTTTACTTTGTACAAAGTGGAACAACGGCTTTTTACAGTAAAGGTGTTGCGCTTTCCTCCAATCATTATGTGGAATAGTTTCATTTAATCAGTTTCTTTAGTGATGCATTTTTAGCATTATTTCTTCAGGCTGATATAATAACACAACATAAAACTTTTGAGATTTCAAAAGTTTGAATTTAATGATTTTTTTTTCTGATTTACAAAGAGTCAAATTGGATATTAATATACATCCCTACGACATTTGGGCGAGGTTGCTTCAGCAAGTTACACTTTACTTACATTGTTTTAGCTATTAATGTTCATAATTCTGGTTTGAAAACTGAGAACCCATTGTTCATAGTTTGATGAATACTTTCTTTATTTGCTTTCTACTGAGACTAAAGATTTTAAGATTAAAAGTCATAAAAAAAAAACCCAGAAGTAATTTCCCCATCATCTCAATGATCTGTGAATATAAACATCTGTTCTCTTTTCAAATTTTGAATAATTTTCCTTTTTTCCTGGACAGAAGCTAATTGATGAGACTGAAATATTAATATTATTATACAGCCTGTGCTTTTCTTTATACTACATTGAAATATTGCAAAGGATCCAAATGATATTCAGTCAAAGACAATGTTGAATAATTGTCGATAAAATGCCTCTTAGGTGTGAATATTATTTCATTTGGTTGGTCATAGAAACTCCTCCATGGCAGCTTTTCCCAAACAACACTAATAATGTCCACAGCAAGAAGCCACTTCCCTGGTCCACCTAGCTGAGCCCAAACGTCTGTTTTGTGTTCTGTTGCTCCCCTGTTGCCAGGTATGTGTCCTCTGTTTAAGCTGAAGCAGAGCAATGAGGCATTTATTTATAAAACTGAGCTCTACGTTAAAAATCAAGATGTCAAAGCTGAATCACAATTCTTTTTTTATCTAGACAAGCCTGAGTTAAACATATGTGTAACTCAGTCGGGGTGTCACTCGTATCTGGAGGTCTTCTTGTTCCTGTATGTGGAGCAGCAACTCTTTTCTCTCTGCTTCAGCCTGGTCGTAACATTTTACAACCATCCTTTGTTTTTGTTTCTGATTCAAGATTGTTTTGACAGAATTATTTCTTCTTTAGGAGCCCTTAACCAGACTCAGAGTGCCCCATAATTCAAAAATCTGCTTTTGCAATAAATTTCTCTTGTAATAAAAACAAAACAGAAACAACAGCAACAAAATTATCCAATGTTTCAAATTGATCTTGTGAAACTGGAACAAATGATAAGACAGGATTACTGAGCAGTTTTTTTTGTTGTTTTTTTGTGTGCCATAGGCTTATCATAAATGTGGTTGAGGACAATGTCTCAGAGGTGTGATTGCACCTACAGAGAAAGGGGATGTTTCTATTTTGAGAACTTGTGATGTGAAGTGAAGGAGAGTGGACTGATCAGGGTCTGCACTCTGTCAGTGTCAGACTACTGGAAAGTTAACCACAATGGTTTCAACAGCTGCTTGAGATTTTTCAAAATAAAATACTTTATTTGCGCAAAAAAAGTAAAAACAAAAAAGGTCCTAAAAAGCTGTCGTCAGGTCGTTCAGGTCTGTAAATGACTGTTCAAATATATAGAAATATATATTTTTAAGTTATTTTCTTCTTTTTTAATTAGTGTTGCACCGATACCAGTATCGGACAGGGCCCAATCCAGCACTAAAATGTTAGTATTGGTATCAGCGAGTACCGTCAAATAGGGCACCAATACCATTTTCAAAGCCAAAAGTTTATTCAACTATTGTCACCCAATCCAGGTATGCAATAAAAAGTTCTACTGGATTCATTTTGTATTAGTCTTTTTTTTCCTTCTTCACAAAGATAGGCAGCAGCCTGACAAAGCCAGATGGCAATTATTCTACATCCAATTAGGATGCAGTTCTTCATATAACACACATCAATAGTATCAGTATGGTATCGATAACGGCCAATACTGCACAGCCAGATAACGGTATCGGGGCCAAAAAATGGCATCAGTGCAACACTTGTTTTAATGCATGGACACCGAGTTAATACAGATATGCTCAAAAAAAAAATATATATAATGTATCCGCCAGCAGGACAATTATTGATGGTGCAGTTAACAAATTGGATTTTAAATGTGGCAAGAAGAAAGCCAAAACATATTCTTTCTACAGATCTCAAAAAGCCATTTTAAAGCATTTACCCAGAAAGAAAGTACACTGGAGAATTTAACTCAAAAGCGGCAGTGATAGAGAAGATTGCAGAGGGAAAAAAAATAGATCAGAGGCTGGGGCAAAGATTATCAAAATGTTTCAAAGCATATTTGTGTATTATAGTCTAGTTAAAGTCCAGACATAATTCTTGAGTTTGTTTGAATAAAATAATTTGCAGAAATAAAATTGGCAGAGAGAAAGAAAATGTAGATGAATGATAATTAATCAGTGCAAAGAATGCAATCTTGGATCTTCAAGACGAGGATAGTTTTATTTTGAAAGCTGAATTGTTATTTCCGTTTTGGTGAAAGTCAATTCTGCAAGGGTTGTGGGTATAGAGGAGGAGAGGATCGGTAAATCCGAACCATGGGAGCTTCTTCCTCTGCATCTTTATCGCGCATTGTTGAAATCTGAGGAAAAATGCTGCGATTTCGACTCCAGCTGAAGGCTTTTTATGCGCGCTTCAGATTCTTTTCACAACTTTCTCCAACAACAGGTTTCCTTGTTTCAACAGAGGAGTTCTGACGTTATTTATTGATTTCTTTTAAGCTGGCGCTCATAGTTTTATAGTGAACTTTTCTTAGTATTTTCTCCTCTTGCTACATCCTGCATCTGCCATCGCCCGGGCAACCAAACCTCTCCATCCCTCTGGAGCGCTTCATCTCTCAGTCGGGGAGGCAGACCAGCTCCCAGCGACAATTGCTACTTGCTTGTTTAACTCCTAACGCATCAAAAATATTATTCCTTAAAGCTAACACATTTGGCTTATATGTGCGCAGTTAATATAAGCCAGGGAAGTTCATGCGTCTGGTCTCGCCAAAATGCCTGTAAGAAGAGGTCATGTTGCGCTCCAGAACACCTACTTGGATACAATCATCAAAAAATTCGACGAGAGAAGTAAGTAGAATTAAAATGAGTCAATCTATTTAAGAAAATTTAACATTTAAATATAACCCGAAATAATTTTCCCTTTGAAGCATCCTTGTTTACAATTCACACACCCTTAATATTCTGTAAACATGTTATTGTTCCAATAATTGCCTAATTGACTTTGCAATTAAATGTTGCTTTAATGTACTCTTATGGAAAAAAGACCTTTGAAAGCAAAGTCTACCCAAAGCAATATCTGTCATCATTTTAATTGAAAATGTTAAGGTTTTTTATTATTATTTTTTTTTTGTATTCATTAATTAATTGCATATCCCTGTTTTCTGGGATATGAGACTGTTTCCCTTTTTCAAATATCATATCTTTCAATATCTTAGCCTCTTTCCTATCAGTGATGTTGACAGCCTGTGTTTGCTCATTTTATGTTTCTGTTTAAGTGCACCTGTGTGCATGTGTGTTTATTTGTGAGCACCAGTGTAATGCCCTGATCCATTAGCTTACATGTTTCCTCATGCTAAAAGGAAGAAGAAACAAGTTGGTGTAAGCTCATGTATTCAGAAAGGGAGGGAAATGCTCCCATGCAATCAGCATGTGGAGAAAAATCATACGCTGCTTGTGTAGTTTAGTTCTGAAATTGGTTACATTATCAGCTCTAGACCTAAACCTCATATTTAGTCTTTCTTGTATTTTAAGTTCTATTTTCAGAAACACAATTTATTAAAAAGAAGAAAAAAAACATATTTCTTAACTATCCATGCTTTCTAAATTAGGGGAAACTGCCGCAGACCTTCAGTCTAGTCTATTTCTTTGAGGTACCTTTTGAGGAAAAAGTCTCATTATGTAATGCTTGAACCGTGTCCCTAAAAATGCGTGTGCATGTGCACGACCAGGTGAGTGCAAATGGCACGTGCAACAGTGGTGCTGCTTAGCAACGCTGTGACGATCAGTGTGAGCCCCAGATAATGACATTGGACAGGATGTGCTTTCCACCAGAGTAGCTTAGACGTTTGCTTAAAACAGGAGGGTCAAGAGAAGACCCCCACCCCCTGCAATCAGCATCAGTGTGGGCAGCAAACAGCTGGGTCCACCAAAGCTCTATTAAAAGGGCTAGTTTAAATCTGCTGAGTTTATTGTACTTACTCTTCAATAAGTTCATTTAAGTAATGTTTAAACTGTAGAGCATTGTCCCAATGAATTATTTTGTAGCATTTTATTGCTATTGTGTGTTATTAGAAGTTAAAAGAACACACAGCATAAAGAGTTTGAACAGTTTTGTAGCAGATGAAACTGTTCTGGAACAGTTATTTACACAGTGATGATTAATGATGTTGTTTGACCCCCTCCAGGAAGGCTTCATATACTGCAGAGGACACACAGCCTGTTACCTGTGCATATTAGGAAGTAGAAAGGTAGTAAACGTAAAGGAAAATGCTTGTAGTGAGCTTGTAAGCAGGACGCTGTGCAAGAGATAATTATACTGCCTTAGCCTCGCAGGTTTGGTTTATTCATGCAAATGTTAATAGACTTATTCCTTAAAAACATTAGCCTATCTGGAAATGGGTTTACACATGCAAAAAAATATTACCGTAGCAAAATATTAATGTAAATATGCCAGGCCTATCTGTAGTGATGTAACAGAGATGTACACCAAAGACAAACAGGGAGCTTGGAGCTGATGATGGTCATTTTACCCTTTTTCATTTTGTAGTTTTGTAGTTTTAGTCATATGCTATGCAACAGTTGTGGGTATGGAGTGGAGTCATCAGCTGCAGGACATTTCATTCTAACCATCCTTCCATTCGACCCTGCCAGAGGAGCATTTCCTGCCTGCTTTCACTACTTACAAGGCAGGACAAGTTTATTTATAAAGCTTCATTCACATATTGAGTAAATTTCTTCACTGTGAGTTTAATAAAGTAAATCAATCAATCTTGCACAACAAATTCAAAGCGTTTTATTATGAAATAAGGGAACATAGATGATTACATATAAAGAAAAAGGAAATCAAAAGGCCAACAGAAAAACAAAGAATTAAATGAAATGAAATAAATCTGCAAAAAAGTTTGTTTAAAGCAAATAAAAGTTAGGAAATTATGAAAATTATTTTATATGTCAACATTTTTACACTTGTTCTGATTACACTGAGTGAAGAGGTCTTGGATGACCTTGGGGGCCTATATGTTTAGTACCTGACAAGCAGCTCTTAAATGTGTTTTGGCTCAAGTCTATTTGTTGCCTTACATCAACAGGATTATGAATTATAAATTATATTCTTTACAAAGGACTTAAGGATTCTGGAGTTTTAGCTGCCTGATTGATTTATTTTTAGTGACAAGTTAAGTAAACTGCCTGTATTTATATAGCACTTCAAGTCAGGAGACTTGATCAAGAGCGTTACACTACAGTCAGTCATTCACACATTAATTCATGCACACACTCACAGCTACAATGTGAGCCCTGGGTCTGACTGACAGAATCAAGGCTGCAATACACATCTGCCATCAGGCCCTCTGACCATAAATAGGTAATGCAGATGAAGTCTCTTGCTCAAGGACACAACAATTCAAGCTGGGGCTTGAACTGACATCTGACACCACTGTTGAAACACAATTAGCTAACCTGCTAAAATATATGTATATATATTTATATGTTTTTATATTTCTCATTTTGTTAGAATCTGAGAATAAAGATCCAACAAAACCTATTTATACATATACTTAACAAAGGTGCTAAAAATGTGATCTAAACCTACAATGAAGCATTTTTTTTTAAACTGTGTTGCCTTTAGCATCGTTGTAGATTTAAAGGGTGAGACTGAACATTAGAGAAACTCCACATGGGAGTTTTGTTGGTCAGATTTATAATAACCAAATGCCTTTAAAAATAAAAAAACTCTGCCAAATAAGACATAAACTTGTTTAGCATGGTACCGGACAATATGTCCGACTAAGAAAGGAGATGATTAGTAAGGAGCACTTTTGTTTTTTGTTTTGCCTCTTTGTACTCGTACTCGTCGTCTCCCGCTTTATCCGGAACCGGGTCGCGGGGGCAGCAGACTAAGCAGAGACTCCCAGACTTCCCTCTCCGCAGACACCTCCTCCAGCTCTGCTGGGGGAAGCCCTAGGCGCTCCCAGGCCAGCCGAGAGACGTAGTCTCTCCAGCGTGTCCTCTTTGTTGATGTAAAAACATTTGTGCTAAGGTAGGGGATGGTGCTTCTGTCTTATAAGTATGAGAAGGTGGGGATATTCATTTTCAATTCAATTCAGTTTATTTATAATGCTCAGTTCACAACACGCCATCTCAAAGGATTTTACAGAAACAATTCATCCAGATCATCCAGTCAGATTGGTTCAAAGTTTTCTATGTAAGAAAAACCAGATGATTGCATCGACTTATTGACTCGACTGCAATCTCTCACAACAAGCATGGATGTAGCGACAGTGGGGAGGAAACCTCCCTTATAGCAGACTAAAACTGGTCATTGGTCCAACCAGAGAGGAGCCTGATAACTAAAATATCGGCCTCCCATTCTACTTTTAGAAATTCTAGGAACCTCTAATAAACCTGCAGATTGAGAGCAAAGTGCTCTGTTAGGAACATAAGGTACAATTAGATCTCTAAGACAGAGCATGGCCATTTAAGGGATAAATTATATGTGAGAAGGAGGATTTAAAATTCTATTCTAGATGTCACAGGAAGCCAATGAAGAGAAGGTTGGATAGGACAGATATGATCTCTCGTTTTAATTTTCATCATAACTCTAGCTGCAGCACTTTGGATCTGGCTTTTAACTACAGTTTGTGGACTTCCTGATAGTAAATACTTACAATAGTCCTGCAAGTAACAAACGCATGGACTAGTTTCTCAGCATCACCCCTGGACTGGATATTTTATAATTTTGGCAATATTCCACAGAAGAAAGAATGGGTGTTAAAAAATACACCAAGATTTTTACTTTATTATAAGATCAATTTAATCTCATCCAAATGAAGTGACTTAGCAATCAGCTTCTTTTTCAAAGACTCTGGTCCAAAGACTGTAACTTCTGTTTTGTCTGCATACAGGTGCAGAAAGTTAAGAGTCAACCACATTTTTATGTCATCGAGACATGCTTGTAGTCTATGTAGTGGGTTAGCTGCCCTTGGATTTATCATAAGCATAAAGCATTAATCCCATGCTGCCTAATAGTATTGCAAATTTTGAGCATACATATAGCAAATAGAATTGGCCCCTGCATTCATCCCTGTGGTACTCCATAGGTAACCATGGAGATTAAGGAAGATTTACCATTAGCATAAACAAACTAAAATCTGTCAGATAAATAAGATTTAAAGCAATCCACTGCTGTTCCTTTGATTCCAACAAAATATTCAAGTCTTTCTAAAAGAAAATTATGATCAACTGTATCAGACGCAGTACTGAGATCTAACAGGACAAGTACATACGACATTATTAGGCTTTGACAGACTAATATTAAAGGAGAAATAAGTGGGAAATTTACTCTGAAGTTAACCAAAATCGTTCTTATTTTTCACCTGGGATGGGAGGAGCATTCCTTATAAACAATATTTTCTTTCTATCAACAATGTCTCAGTCAAATCTTTCTCCTTTCAAACCAAGAGGTATGAAGCAGAGCTACATCAGCGCAGTGTATCGTCAATGTTTACCTCCTGTTTCCTGAGCCAATCATATGGGAGTTCCCAGGATAAACAAAATGGAGGTCAGCATTTGGTATTTTATATTTGCAAAAGAGCAGCAGCCTGGAAACATTGAAGTCAGCAACAGAACTGCACCAGAAATAGTTTCAAGAGTACCTAAGAAGCCTCAGCATCCTTTAGAAGTATCACCCACCCATTTACTCTGGCTGAGACGTCTTTACTAATTATCATGAATTCCGCTATGTCCTCATCTCTCTAAACTTGGCAATCTTCAAGCAACTGGTTTGTTTGTTTTTTTGTGTGTTGCACTGATTTAAAACATTAAGTGTCATTATCCCTTATTGCTCCTTTAAGGCCCAATTATAGTCTATTTCTGGCATTCCTGTAAGACTCTGTTATCCCTTTACAAGCCAGCTGATGTCGGCTATACCTTTTTTTAAAACAGACCAAGCATCAGATATTGGAGTAATTTATAATGCTGTTGAGATCCCTCCTTCCTCATCAATGACGCCCTGTTGTTCTAGAGGTTGTATCATAATGTTCTTTCGTGCATAACAAATCACTTATGCAAAGTTTGATTGTTACTTTACAAAGAGTGCAGCCACAACACCCTGCAGGTAAACAGCTCTGCATAATAATAATAATAATAATAATAATAATATTAATAATCTATTTTTATGGATTCGTTGTTGCAGCACTACTGTTAATAATCAAAGAAGCAGTGCAGTTTTTTCTTACCAACTTTGAGACCCTAATTGCATGTCTTTTCCCTTTCTCTCCCTGCCTTTTTCTTGTACTATTACAGTAAAAAAAAAGACCACTTGCTACACAAAGAAAAAAACTCGATTTGATTCATTATGATGCCCGTCAAACAGGCTATAGGTAGCATAATGCTGAGGCTATTGCTGGATTGCAAAAAGTAATTAGAATAGTGAAAAAGGACAGACCGTCTGCATTCAGTTTTTTCAGCTTTTTGTCAGCAAAAATGATGATACACCGATACAACAAAGTTTTCTGACAGAAAATGACCTACAAAAGCATCAAAAGGTATTTGACTAAATTTAAAAAAGCCAAATTTAAGTTGAAGTGGTTTCCACAGTAAATGTAAACCACTTTTTGCAACTAGAAGTGGACAAATGCCCAGCTAACATTATGGCAGAAGGTCTGTGTGGATTAGGAAATATCTGGTCCTTTAAAAAAAAAAAACAATATGTGTCAGGGTTCGATGAAGGACCCAATATGCAGAGGCAGAGTATGATTCTTGCAGATTTATTCAAGGTGGTGGCAACAGAAGTATACAACCAGTTGTAAACGAAACAGGAAATGCATGAACCAGAACAGAAAGTAAAACAGGAGGTAATTTATAGGAGGTAATAAGACAAACCAGCCATGAGCAACTATAGAGAAGGAGTGTATTTATTGGGGAGAAGAATACTGAACAGTGAATGGAGTATTTAACTAACAAGGAGCAGGGTTTCAAAGACAGAGTTTGAAGGTGACTGAATGGAAAGGAGAGTTGCACTAGGGGCCATTGGACAGCAACAGGTAAAGGAAACAAACAATTACTAAGGGAAAATTAGACAACATGTAAAAAGTCTGGATAAACTAAGATAACTATAATGCCATGGGGAAACATAATCAAAAGAAAAAAGTAAACAATAAATGGTTAAAAAAAATAAATAAAAAATTAAGCAAAGACTAAATAAGTCCCAAGAGTGCTAAATTAGATGTAACTCAAAAAACACCAAAGAGGAGTTAAACTTAGAAGTAAAGAAAATCTGATAAATCTTAATGAAAAATATAAATAAATATAATTTTTGGAATAACAAAAAAATAAAACCTTAAACAGAAACAAATTTCCTAAATCAAAGAGACAGTTGTACAAAAGGATTCAACACAGGATAAAAAAATAATAACACAGGATATAATTAATCACATAAAGGCAAAAAGTTAAATGTAATCTAAACAAAACATGTCAAGCAGAGACAACACAATTTCAAAATTTTAACTTAAATGCTTAAAAAAAGATTTAATTATATGACTTTGTAAAAAAAAAAACGTGAATAAACAAAATATTATTAAAAAGTAAAATACAGTTACTATAGAGTTTTACTGTAAATAGAGACAATAAAGATGAAACTGGTTTGACTTGTTTACATAACAAGAATATAAATTTGTACAAATGAGAAAAGTTTTATGACCATTTGGATAATATCCAAATGTTGACAGGTTAAAAAGTGTAATAAACTTTTAATTTCTTATGTTACCTGAGAACAAGAGTGACACACCAGAGTTTAAATTAAAGTGACCAACTGCTCCTTGTTCAATCTCCTAAACTATGATGCTAGTAACTTTAGCACCATGGAAAATCAAACTTCATCACTTCCACATCAGCTTATTGTCATGTGAGAAGAATGAGAGATAATTCACTGAAACGGCAGAACCTTTCAGATCCAAAGCCTTGCTGGAAAAGTCATCTAGTTGCCCTTTAGTCTGATTTAATCACAACCTTTGTACAAATATTACTATTGTCAGTGTGTTTTTCCTAGAATAACTGTGCTGCTAGAATTCTACTGTTTTTGTGCTTAATTTGACCTTTCTTCCACTTTTTCAGATCGCAAGTTTCTGATTGCCAATGCACAGATGAAGAACTGTGGAATCATCTACTGCAATGAAGGCTTCTGCCAAATGTTCGGTTTCACCCGGGCTGAGATCATGCAGCAGCCATGCACCTGCCAATTCTTGGTAGGTCCTGGCACCATGAAGAGTGCCCTGGCCCAATTAGCACAAGCCCTGCTTGGGTCAGAGGAGCGTAAAGTGGAAATCCTCTACTATTCAAAGGAAGGTGAGGCACAGAAAATAAAAGGAACAATTTAAAAGATAGAATGAGTAGGATGACGAAAAACTCTTTGCAGCTTTTTTTTGTTAATTAAAATATTTGTCCTTAAATTTGCATATAGATAATAAAAAATCAACTTTTATTGATTCTAGAATGTAGTCAAATAAAAAAAGTGATCGCTCTATCCAAACATTTTTATTTTTCCTAGGTAAGATCATTTGCAAATGAATAAAATCTTTTTTTTGCAATATGATATTTAAAAAAAGCTAAAGCTCAGGTTTTTTGTCGTGAAAAATAGTTTTGCATAATCATTGTAATTATTTAGTTTGTATTAACTGCACTTTTAAAAAGACTGATTATAATTAATTTGGATTAGAAGCAGAGGTTTGTAAAAGAGGCATTTGCTTTACAAGGCTCAGTAAAAGGATAAATATTCTGAAACACTATAAAATCCTAACTGTAATCCTAATGGTAAATATTTTTAATGTATTACCTTCATAGCTGTTAAATTCTTACCTTCGCTGTAAGATTTTCACAAGGCTACCAACAGTCCTTTATTCAGAAAATTTAAATTGGTCCCTTTCAAACAATAACACAAATATGTATGTTAACCTCCTGTTACCAGACTATGTCCTTGCAAATTTTTTTCAATCAGTAACAACTTCCAGTAAAAACAACACTGTTTTTATTAGTGTATCCCGGCAGTTCTTATACCATAATAATTGCTTTAACTAATCAGAAAAAAGATTGTTACCGTTTATGGCTGGCCAAGCATACAATTGGTCAATTTCCAGTGGTGTAATATTTTTGTTGTGACTTAACTATACAGGGATGTAAAATGTAGCCTTTTTACCTCCTTAGTATATTAAGATTTGTTCCCTGTAATGTTAGGGTCTCGGGGTTTTGCTGTTTTTCTGGTGTGAGTGAGCTACCTGTCACAGAGAGGATCTTTGCTGGTGGCTGGGCTGACCCTTGTTGTAGCACACCTGAGTACATTTCTCAATCAAGATTTGTGTATATAAGGATACAAAGGATTGGTTCTCTTCATCGGATAATTACCCGTGATGGTATTCCAGCCAAAGACCAAAATTCTTCTTTTGAATGTCTTTTAAGGTGGACTCTATTGTTCTAACCAGTGAACCTCAGTTATTCCTTGATCCTCATGGAAAAGGTCTGTGCTTTCATCACTTCTCAGTCATCATCACCTGCCTACCCACTCTCCAGCAATGTGTCTCTTGCAAGTACCAATGCTCTCGGATCTCACTAACATTCTTCTGGAACATCAAACCCCCTACAGATCCATGCTACCTCCCCTTTAACTCTCAAATAAGCTAATCAATCATTCATGAATTGTCATCAACCAACTCCTTCCTGATCAGTCTGATTTCTCCTGTCAGATGAACTAGAAAGTTCAGTTGACTTCCTGCAGTTCTCAACATTCAGTTTTTTGTTGCTTTTTTAAGCAAAACATTAAAATTCACTGGTTTTCTATGTGAATCTGCATATGAGTCAAAAAACTACAAACCAATGTTACAGAATCATCTGGCTAGTCTGACACACCAAAGTTTCCCTGAGGTCCTTTCACTGAACATGAATTACTTCATCCCCATGAACAGTTAATCCACTCCTTTGCTTAACGACAAAGATGTTGAAATCAAAACATAGGCAGTTTTCATAAATGTTTCAGGAGCTGCTTAACAGGACCACTCACGCAGGGTCTACCCCCTCTACACCTGGTGCGACCATTGTTCCTGAATTAACTCCTCATATAACCTCTTTTCATTTTGCCTATTTCCCCACACCTTAGCCTTATGCGGATGAAATTGAAAGGTGTCTTGAAATCCTGTTACAATGTTCACTCTTTTTTAGTCATCCCCCCAGGTCTTTTTTATTTGATAAGGATAAAATCTAATTTGTGATGGGATTATTGGGAAGTCGAACCCTGCAGTGGGCTGAAGTAAGATTTTGGGATGAGCTGCAATTCAACATTTCCTTTGACATGACAAACAGACATTTGGATATATTCAGTCAGTTTCCGACATGTTCCGTAAGATGCAAAATTTAAAACAGGGTAGCCAGCCGGTATCAGGCTTTACAATTGAGTTTCTAATTCTAGCAGCCCCTTCAGCCTGAAACCCTGAAGCTTTGAAGGGAGCTTTTCTTCAAACTTTGGATGAAGCAATTAAGGATAAACAAGCATGCAGAGAGGAGTATAAAACTCTAGAGAAACTAATCTCCATGGTTATTCACATTGACAACAGAATTTAAGATGGAACTCGGACAAAACAACGGAATAATTTACCTCTTCCCCAATCTCATTTTCCAGATCGTTCACAAGTTTCTGACTCTTCCAGGCTAGATCTAGAGCAACCTATGCAGACTAGCAGTATCCAGTTGTCAGCTGAGGAACGACAACATTTGATGAAAACTTGACTCCACTTGTATTGCGAGAGTGGACACTTAATTTCTTCATGCCTAGGCAATACTCCTGTGACCACTTATCATTTAACCTTTCTGCATTTTGGTGGCCTTATTGTGGGAAATAATGGATCAAGTCCTGGAGGTTCAGCGGTCCAAACCGGGCCCTGGCACTGGACCTCTAAATCTGGTTAATGTTCTTTCTCATATTATGTCCTGCATCATTCAATGGGCCCACATGGCAAATTCTTCTGCCATCCTGGAATCTACCGAACTCTTGCACTCCTTAAACAAAAATTCTGGTGGCCTTCGATATATACGAGGAGGTTAAAAGCTATCTTCTAGCCTGTCCAGATAATTTCCACAGCAAATGTAATCACCAGTCCCTCAGTGGTCTTCTTCAGCCATTGTCTATCCCTTAACGTCCCTGGTCATGTATTGCCTTAGATCTCGTAACTGGAATACCAACATCTAAGGGTTTCACCACCATCCTCAGTATAATCTACCGCTTCTTCAAAGCTTGCCACCTCACCCCTCTTCATCGAACCCCAACCTCCCTGGAGACAGCTATGCTCCTGACTAAGCTAAGCATGTTTTTCACCTTCACGGAATCCCTTGTTAAATCATGTTGGACAGGGGTCCGCATTTATCTCCCTGGTCCGGAAGTCGTTTTGTAATTTCTTTGGGGCCAAGACTGCTCTCTGTTTAGGTTTTCATTACCAAACTAATGCTCAATCTGAATGCATGAACCAGGAACTTGAGACATCCCCTCTGTACATACCTCTGTACGTGACACCCATCATCATGGAATACTCAGTTGCCTATGGTCGAATATACACATAATTGTGACACTTCCTCTGCTACTGGTCTATCTCCATTTGAGTCCCATCTAGGATACCACCCTACCTTGTCTCCATCTGAAGAGCAGGACATTGCAATTCCCTCTGTCAAACACCACATTCGCCACTACTGACGAGTCCGGAACCTGACTGTTTCTGCCTTGGACTGGTCAGCAGAAACAAATCGATGTCTGGCCGATCTGAGAAGGGTTCCTGCTCCCTCAGTCACTCTCTGTGGTTCGTTTCAACCTCTTGGATGATTTAAGGATTCATCCTGCTTTTCACGTCTCTTTTATGAAGCCTGTTCTTCCAGTCCCTTTCCACCTGCCCGAGACGTTAGTGTGCACCTGTCCTTCAATGTGCAAAGGCGTTTGTATGCTTGTCGCCAAGGAAAGAGTTTTCAGTATCGATTTGGAGAGTTATGGACCTGAAGAACGCTCTGGGATCCTACTTCTTTTATTTTGGACTCTGACATGGTTTGGGAATTTTGGGCTTCTCGCTCTTCCTCTTCCCTTCAGATCTTCATGGAAAAGGTCTTACTTGTGTTTTCAGTTGTCATAAACCAACTTCTTCCTGATCAGCCTGCTTTTGCACCTCGGACAACCAGAAAGTTAAACATGCTTCCTCCACTTCTCTGCTCACAGATTATTTTTGCTCTTTGTTAATAAAACGTTAAAATTTACAGGTTCTCTGTGTGATTCTGCATGTGGGTCAAAAGACCAAAAACCAACAAGACATGAAAACACTGTTTAATATTTAAGGCCCTCTTTAACAGGACTTGTAATGATATTTAGGTGCCTTGAATAATCACGAAAAAATGCAAAATGTGATAATAATGGTTAATATATAGGTAAATAACCATTAATGGGGAGACAACTGAATCAGTTGTCCGGGGCCAAAGATAGAGGTTAGGTCCTGAACCTGCCCCCTAAAAATTGTCCCATTAAAAATGTCCTATAAAGAAAGTAACAAAACTAGTTAAAATAACTAGCAACAGAACAATAATAACTCAAACAAATTCACCTTCCATAATAAAAAACAGGAGGAGCTTAAATAGTGATACACAAAACATACACAAACCTAACTGAAACACATAAAGCAAAAACCCATTCACTCCATAGTGTTGGCTTGCCCAGCTGCGAGTTTCTCAGCCAAGGGACTGAAGCAATTGCAAAACTCAAACAGGATACAAAATAAACAAAATCATGACAAAAATAGTGTAAACCAAAATGTTCACTCTAATTTGAAAATACAGTGTTATTTTCATAAATTCCAATAATGAAGTGGCTATGTAAATAAAATCCTATAGGAAAAGAAATTAAATTATTAATTTATAGTGGTTTTTACCACAACTGTGTGGCTGTAAATGCACCCATCAGATGCATGCAAAGTTTTTATGAAAGATTACTTCAACCTGTTGCAGTATTATTTATTTTTCTGCTTTATATGTTTTTTTTTGTTAGTTAATTAAATTTAAAAAAAGCATTTTGTTTATTTTTACAATAATGGAGGTACAATACTGTGCATATTTGCAGGGGTTAAACAGAGAAGTAATGTTGCTAAGCATGCTACCATCTTCCAATGTACTTGTGAAAATAAAGAAAAACAACCAAGATACAGCAGAAAAATATTTGATTTAAAGATGGATAAGACTTGAACAGGACTTGAGTTCACTATAGCAGGATCTAATGTCGCATAAATATTCAGATGTGGCTGCAGAGTTCCTTAAATGCATGAATCACCGTCCTTTAATACTAACACTAGTGAAAGCAGTGATATTCTTAGTCTTTACTGTGTAATTCCTAACAAGGTTATAAATAAATTGATAGCTGGATCGGTATAAAGAGGCTTTATTAAAATGACCCTTTGTGACTCTGCAATAATGGGGAAGATTCAAAACTTTTGCACAGTATTCTACGCATTTAGTCATGAGGCATGCAGTCTGGTGTGCTGTTGTCATGGAAATGAGTTGATTTTGCCAACTCAGATCCACAAAGCATCTATTTGTTTTGTCTCCTGCTTCCTACTGTGCTCCCAGGCTTATCGAGGGTGAAAACAAGTGAATACAACATGATTGAGAATTTAAGCTCTCACATGCTCACTATCCTTTTTAACCTCCAGACTAAAAGCCTGACTTGATTAACAGAGTTGAATGCAGGCATTCTCTGTGTATGAATAGTCCAGTGTCTGATCGGCATCAGTTTTTAACATCTATTTTTAGATCAGACTGATAACGGAGTGAACTCGGTCTTTTTGAAAGTGCGCGTAGCATTCACCGTATCATCATTCTAATGTGCTGTTTGGAGCTGTTCTTTGACGGGGGTATAGCTCAGTGGTAGAGCATTTGACTGCAGATCAAGAGGTCCCAGGTTCAAATCCTGGTGCCCCCTTCTAATTTTAAATGATCTCTTTTATTTGCAGGAATTTGTCGACCCTGCCGGGTGGATATTGTACCTGTCAAAAACGAGGAAGGCAATGTCATAATGTTCATCCTCGACTACCAGGAGCTCATCGATCCCTCTCTCAAGAAGTCAGGCTTAAGGCAGAAGATGGCTCAAGGATGGCTTTACTGTAAACCCACTTTAAGATTTAAAGTCTTTAATTTAGCTAGATGTAATAGATATAAATCTTGCTGCTCACTTAAAGTCATGCCCACAATACCATGCCCATCTTTACTTTATGGGAAGACAGTTGTTGTTTGTAAACTTTTACAAGGTGGAGAGTTTTTTCCTAGCAAATAATATGCACACATGATAATTATCTATAGAAATTGTAATGATGATAGTGAAATATTTGTAAGATTTTCTCTCAACACAGCATTTGCCCTGTAGGTCAGAACCGCCGGCTAAAGATGAGGTTACCAGAACTTCGCTCCATGCGAAGAACTTCACTGGCCAAAGACCAGTGTGAAGGGGTTGTGGTGGATTACCTGCAGGTGATGTATTTGCATCACACGATGCAGAACTTGTAACGTTTTATTCTTCTTTGTTTGTTTCTTACTTCTCCTTATAGATGTATCAGTAAACTATGTGTATTTACAGGTGCGTTGCCTCCAACAGCAATGATAACCAATGAAAAGACAAACATTGAGACTGAGAAGGAAGATTAGTTGTTTCTATAGATTTCTCCTGATTCTTTTTATATCATGTCGGTGTTTTAGATGCAAAGAGAAAAATAAATTTTTATTCGATTCATCAAGATAAAACACATACCTTTACCAACTTGGCTATATGTAAAAAAGTATATGAAAAAAGTAAAGTAACTGAAACATTTTGGAAGGTGTGCATCCCGTTACTACAGGGGTAAAACCATCATAGTCATTTTAGAAAAAAAAAACATCATCCAGACAGTTAAAAACTCTCTAACCTGGAGAACATGCCTGGGTAAATAAAAGCTTTAATTCTATTTTCTAGAAAAAGAAAAAAAAAAACTGAAGGAGAAATTTTTGAACGCCAGTTTTTGGCTGGATGGTATAAAAAAATAAATTAAACAATATGAATGCAATGGAGTGGCCTAGTCAAAATTTGAAGTGATCTTAATTAATTACAGTTTTTAAACACCTTCCTATGTGGCTAATTTAAAACAAACCTTTAAAAAAGGTCCAGAATTCATTCACAGTGATGAAAAAAGATGATTTAGCAAAAAAGGAGAGCTGTTTGCAATCCAGTTATTAGATTTACTGAATAATTCGTTTTTCACACAGGTTTTTTCATAGATTTATTTCCTTAGTGATGTAATCATAATATAAACGTGAAATATTTTCATTTAGTTTGGTTATTTTTGGTGGATTTTAAGAACTGTCTGATGGGCTCTAATATGTAAGTGTGGAAAATCATCAGTATGAGAACAAATTAAAGAGGATAATTGCTTTATCATATCGCTTTATCTACTGCTGTCCTATCCGGGTTTATTTTACTTACACAAAAACCTTCTCCGCCTCCTGCTTAGTCTTTCTTTGTGCTCTGAGGATAAAACCCTTGCATGAAAGATTTACTGTCAGTATCTATTCATGACACTGAAAATGTAGTGGGCCAGTCACCCATAGCTGTCATGCTATTGCAATCTACAGACTGAATAAAAGTGACTCTGCTTTCAGTGTTAATATATTTTTACCCACTTTTTGCAGCCATAAAGTTGATAACATGATATATTATTGTTACTAGTGAAAATCTTGTATTTAAGCTCTGTGACTGCGCACACAAAATATATGCTGCTCATTCAATTTGCTATAAAGGTGCACAAAAAGTATTTCAGCCCCAGAACTGTTATTAAATTCAGTTTTACAACAAGGAGATATCGCAATTCTATCCTATTCACCCCTTGCTTTCTGGTTAGATCCACTAAATGCCCTTAGAACCATTTAAAAAAACATTTAACTTTATGGTGTAGGGCAGGGGTCTGCAACCTGCGGCTCCAGAGCCACATATGGCTCTTTGGACCCTCTCCAACGGCTCTTAATAGTGGCTAAAATGTATATTAAGAGCTCAATAATTTACTATAATATATACCGGTATCAATAGCTTTAGCGTTTTTTTATAAGATCCAAAAGGATGAGATTCCAAGAACCAGAGATATGTTTTAAGAGACCTTTTTC